AAAGCTGCACTAATCAGTATTTTTATAAATTAATGAATTTAAACCCCCCCAAATGGTCGAGTGTGTAACAATTAAGAGGATCTATTGGCAGAAATAGCATATAAATATTAATAGTTATGTTTTCATTAGTGTATAATCACCTGAAAATAAGAATTGCTCTCGTCACCTTAGAATGAGCAGTTTCTATCTACAGAGGGAGTGGGTCCTCCTCTATGTTTCTAATATTGGACAAACCAAACACTGGCTCTAGATGGAGCCTTTCGCAAGTTTCCACTCCTACATGCTTGGAAGGTGAGCACTACTGAGTTACAATCTGCAACCTCACGGCTGGATGCCACTAAATCCTACACACTTGTCCTTTAAGGTTGCATTATTTTGTTTTTGTCAATTTTGGCAATAATACAAGCTTTTTGGTGAGGCCAATCACTTATCTGGAGATGTGCTTTCATCCACTTGATGAATGCCCAATATTCACTCTCCTTTTAGCTAATAGCAGTGAACCAGAGCAGCAAATGTGCTGTAAAACCGAAAACATCAAAATGAGCTAAAACTGGCTTCTACAACCTCTTGTAGAGCTGCAGAGTTGGGTGATAGTTCTCTGTGGCACCAAGGCATTGCAACTAGAGTAGTAAATGGGATCAAGCCTGTTGCTGATTTTATTCTGGACAGAGCTTCGGCGACAGTGTTTCTGCCACACTTTGATGACTGTGGAACATTTTATTATCTGAGAGGCACTGAAAGAGAGAAAAGAGAACAAAATTAAAGACAGAGAGAGCCTTTGTCCCGCTGCTTTGGCAATATTGTTCTCAACTGTCATGCAAATGAGGAGCAGTGGACTGAGAAATACAGGGAGAGATGGTTAGAGCAGAAAGAGATAGTCAGTGAAAATCTCACCTCATTATTCCATGCCAACAGCAAGGAGCATGCTTTAAATTCAATCTAAATTAAATCTAAACTTTTTGAATTATGTATCATGCATCTAAACTGTACGTCACGAAACAATGTTTTGCTGTAAACTACTGCAGGGTGTGTGATTAAAAATGTGACGTTTTCTTTACATTAAGGAGACGTCGCCAGTATTGAGAGTAAATTATAGCACAGAGCTGCTGTATGTCAGCACACAATCAGTTTTTAGTATTTACTCATCCAATCTTCAGCCAGGCCCTAGCCACACTGCCGTTGGGAAACACACATACACACTCAAGCCATGAGTCATGGGGCGGTATCACAGCAATCACATCCACTTCAAACCGCTGCGTCACTTATCGTCTCTGTGGAGCAGCATTGTGTTTACCTTGACCACCGCACAGATTCACCACAGTTCTAGAAGTGATCAAAATGACAGAATGTAGTCATGTGTTGATGGTACACAGCAACTCTCTGTCACGAATTTTCCTCAAAACAATTATTATTTTTTATTTTTTATTATTTGTCAGCTTGTGGAGATTCTTCCTGAAACAGAACACCAGTAAGTATCATCTGTGGTCCTTTTTAACATAAGCCTTTCTGTGTTCACTTTCAAAACCTTAGCAGTGAGCTGGGAGGGAATTTTAAGGATTATTGAGTGCTATCACAAAACCTGACAGTGTTAGCTCAGGTTTAACCCTGCATTATAATACTCCTGGGTTAACATTTAACAAGTGTGTCCTCTTAACATATGGATTAGCGATAAACCCCTGGGTATTCAGAGACTGTCCTCACTAGAAAGAAGGTCTGCAAATATTTGAACATTTGCCACCATAAACTACTAGTCATATCAGACCAAGTAAGGCTGTAGCAACAAACTGTACTGAATTTTGAAAAGTCGTCACAGTGACAAACATTTTATCCTTTACCTCCACGATCGAAAAGGTAAACGGCGGTATTATGCTGTTACTTTGAAGCAATTTACCAGGTGCACTTGAACGTATTTGATTGGCCAGGTTTGTTGCCAGATTTCGCTCTGAGCTCGTCCTTAACATTTTATTGCACAAATGTTAACAGTAGGAAAACTGAGGAAATATTCCTTTAGACTGCTAACCGGTAAGAGTGTGCATTGGCGTTATGTCTGGATATCTTTGTGTAAGTGATATTATTAGACAGACGGATAGGGAGAAGAGAGAAAAGGAGGTGGATTATTACAAGATTTTGAAGGGCACCTCAGCAGGTTTAATATTGAAGTTAGAAAGAAGCCTTCAATATCAGAATTCATAAATATTGCATTTCATATGAATATGATTTCCCTGGCTGGCTCTCATCTGACAAACACACACTTGAATATCCCTATTATAATTTGGGATATTCAAGTCTTCTATTATTAAGCTGCCTCATCAGCTCTTAAATCACTAATAAGAGACTGAAACAATTCTAGTCGGAGGGCTGGGGTTTGTGAAGTCTGCAGTTTATCTCAGTCACAGTGTGTGCTTCAGTTCTGTATCCATACATCTGGAACATGTGCACATATTTGTCTATAAGCGGGATTTTATTTTGGAGTTTTAGGCTTTAAATGTTCAAATCCAGAGAGTACAATGGAGTGGATTTTGATTTTTCTGGTAAAAAAAAAGAGGAGACTCAGAAAAGACCAACGAACTCTTTCTAAGCCCCACCCCTTTTTGCTCTGTGCTCCAATGACAAGTTAACAATGATAATAATAAGTTCAGCAAGCTTAGATATATATAACTAGCTAGCCAGTTTATATAAATTGTTAGTTAGCTAGTTATCAAATGTCAGCTAACATTAGCTAACTTAAAATGTGACCATATATGTCACTTTTATCTTTTAACAATCTTCAAAATGTGTTTGACTTAACGAGCAAATAGTTTCTCACCAAGGCTTGCTCAACTGTTATTGGAGCATGAAGCAAAAAGGGGCGGGACTCATGAAGAGTCAATTGAGTGGCTGGCTAGTGCAGACATGGCTAGCAGCTGTAGGATATTGTTCATTTATTTCTTTCAATTCAATTAAGAATAAAATTGATTAACAAAATAATTTGTTTAAGGAACGTATTCAAAGGCCGATGTCGGGTTTTTTTTCGAGTGCCAACAGAATCACACAGCTTATGTTAATACTATACTGGCTATTTTCCTCAAAAAGTTGGATTACAGCAGTTTGGTTTCGTTTTTTAGGCTACATGTTTGATTTACATGAAGTGGATTATATTGTTTACTTGTGTTGATCTGATCGGTTTATTAGACCTCAACACAGTGCGCTGTTCAACTAGCCTGGGAGGCA